ATTGTGAGTTTTATTTTGCAAGTTTTTGTATATGTAGAATATATTTAATTTAATTGAAATTCAATTCATATTTATTTGATTATATTGATGGTTTGTTTATATTGTGAGTTTTATTTTGCAAGTTTTTGTATATGTAGAATATATTTAATTTAATTGAAATTCAATTCATATTTATTTGATTATATTGATGGTTTGTTTATATTGTGAGTTTTATTTTGCAAGTTTTTGTATATGTAGAATATATTTAATTTAATTGAAATTCAATTCATATTTATTTGATTATATTGATGGTTTGTTTATATTGTGAGTTTTATTTTGCAAGTTTTTGTATATGTAGAATATATTTAATTTAATTGAATATCCAATTCATGTTTATTTTTATTATGTTGATGGTTTGTTTAAATTGTGAGTATTTATTTTGAATATTTTGTATATGTAGAAGTATTATGGAACGGTTTTTTAAGAGAAAGTCATCATCGGGTTCCGGTAGTTCGAATAATGTTGATAGTTCAAATACTGTTGGTAGTTCAAGAACTCCAAGTTCAAGACAAAGTCAGTCAGATGGTGTTTTGGGTAATCTTCAAGCGGATCCTGGATTAAGAACTCGAATGATAGATTATGATGCTAATATGAGAGATGAGGTCCGAAGATCATATCTACAAAAAGGACCTTGTCAACCTAGAGGTCATAATTTCCCGATAACTAATATGTCGGGAATTAATCGACGCTTCATTCCCCAATGGTTTGATGAGTTTGATTGGTTGGAGTATAGTATATCTAAAGATGCGGCATTTTGTCTCTATTGCTATCTCTTTAAAACCAATTTTGAACAAGTGGGTAGTGAAGCTTTCACTGGAGATGGATTTAAGAATTGGAAGAAAGGGAGAGAAAGATTTAAGATGCATGTTGGACCGGTTGGGAGTGTTCATAATAAGGCTAGAGAAGCTGCTACAAATTTGATGAATCAAGCTACACATATTGAAACGGCAGTGAGCAAACACTCTGACCAAGCTCGTAAGGCTTATCGCACATGTTTGATAGCATCAATCAAGTGCACTAAGTTTTTATTGCGACAAGGTCTTGCTTTTCGTGGCCATGATGAAAGTGCCACTTCAAGTAATAGGGGAAATTACTTGGAGCTATTACAATTCCTTGCAGATAATGATGATAAAGTTAAAGAAGTTGTGATGGAAAATGCTCCGGGGAATCTCAAATTACTAGCTCCTTGCATTCAAAAAGAAATTGTGAATTCATGTGCCCTTGAAACACTTGATGCTATCATGGATGGTCTAAAAGATAGATTCTTTTCAATATTGGTGGATGAAGCACGTGATGTATCGGTGAAAGAGCAAATGGCTATGGTGTTGCGTTATGTGGATGACTCCGGGCATGTAATTGAAAGATTTGTGGGTATCCAACATGTTACCGACACTACTTCAAGTTCACTAAAGGATGCTATTGACACATTCTTTTCTCACAACGGTTTGAGCATTTCCAAGCTACGAGGACAAGGTTATGATGGTGCTAGCAATATGAGAGGTGAGTTGAATGGCCTTAAAACAAAGATATTGAGAGAACAACCTTGTGCATATTATGTTCATTGCTTTGCTCATCAACTTCAACTAGCTCTTGTTGCCGTAGCAAAGAAGAATATAGACATTGCCTCTTTTTTTGCAACGGCTAATAGTGTGGTTAATCATGTTGGAGCATCTTGTAAGCGGCGTGATTTACTTAGAGGGCAACTTCAAGAAGAGCTTGTGATAGCTTTTGAAAATGATTGTCTTATAACGGGGCGAGGCTTAAATCAAGAAACAAGTCTCAAACGTGCCGGTGACACACGATGGAACTCACACTATGGTACCTTGATTAGCATCATTTCTATGTTTTCATCTGTGGTTCATGTGCTTCAAATGGTTATTGATGATAATCCCAATGAAAGTGCGGGTGAAGCAAATAAGTTAATGAGAGAAATACGGAGTTTTGAGTTTGTGTTTCACCTTTTCTTGATGAAGGTCATATTGGGACTCACAAATGATTTGTCACAAGCATTGCAAAGGAAAGATCAAGAAATTGTTAATGCAATGGCTTTAGTGAAATCATGCAAGGAAAAGCTACATTGGATGAGGAATAATGGGTTCGATGCATTAGTTGATGAAGTATCTTCTTTTTGTGAAAAACATCATATTTATGTTCCTAACATGGAAGATGCATTTATACTTCCAGGGAGGTCAAGGCGTAATGCTCCAATAAAGACAAATCGACATCATTATCGTGTGGAGCTATTTATTTATGTCATTGATGAGCAAATTACGGAGTTAGAGGATCGCTTTAATGAGGTAAATACAGAGTTGCTTATTTGTTTGGCATGTTTGAGTCCAAAAGATTCATTTGTAGCTTTTGATAAATCAAAGTTACTTCGTCTTGCTCAATTTTATCCTCAAGACTTTTCGGATGAGGATCGTTTGGCACTTGAAGATCAACTTGAGATTTATATTCATTATGTGCGTTCCATGGGTGATTTCTCTCAATTGCAAGGGATTGGTGATCTTGCAAAAAAAATGGTGGAGACAAGGATGCATCAAGTATTCAATTATGTATATTTGCTCATTACATTGTCTTTAGTTTTACCGGTTGCAACTGCTTCAGTGGAGAGGGCATTTTCTGTCATGAATATTGTTAAGGGTCCACTTAGGAACAAAATGGGAGATCAATGGTTGAGTGATAGCTTGCTTGTTTATATTGAGAGAGATATTTTTGCTTGTATTGAAAATGAAGCTATAATGCTTCGTTTTCAAAATATGAAACCTCGTCGTGGACAATTATAGCTTGTAATATTATTTCCGTTATGAATTATGAATGAAAGTACTATGATTTCATTTTCAATATGTTTTTCAATCCTAAATTTTTATTTGGACTTTTACACTATGACCCCTTGTGGTATGATTCCTGGCTCCGCCACTGACGGGCAATGAGATGAAGTTCTCTCATAATCTATCACGGACAATGATTGATTATTTCACATGTCTTATGTGCAACAATTTTAGTCATTAAGTTCGAATTGAAGAGTTTTAACGATTGATTAGTATTGGAAAGAAATTTCTTGGACTTTAAAATGTACTTTCAGGTGAAGCATGCTGTGTTTAACAAAATGTGCATATTATCGTCAGAAAAAATGTTTGGAAACCTGCCCTAGTGTGTGCAGATACAGTTCGAGCTGTGCATTTGATCAGTTTAAGCAGAATGCCAGTATGGCTAAGATTCCACTTTATGGAAGGTGCTCTTTTTTCTTTCTACTGGTTATGTGTCTTTCTTTGGACAATTACAAGCCTTATAGAGTTGTGAAGTTTGCGAATGTTGAATTTTTCTTATCTTTCAGTAAACATCTCAATTCTAGATATTAGTTAATTTTTAATAGGAGAAGTGAAAGAAAGAGGAATGTAGTAGTTGGATTAGTGTCACAGTGGTTATAGTTTGGTCTCATACTCCACCGTTATGGATCACAGTTTGATGTTTTTGGAGTTAGAACCACGGTTTCTGGTTGGGAAAAGTGAGGAAAAACATGGTGGACATTAAAAGGCAGCCATCCTTGGTGTCCTGCCCATCCATCCCTGGCGTCCACTTGCAGTTGAAGGTGTGGAAACAATCTCAAAGGTGAATTGCGATCTTATAATTGTTGATACTAGTGGGCGTCACAAACAAGAAGCTGCTCTTTTTGAAGAAATGCGTCAAGTTTCTGAAGCAACGGTGTTTGTTCTGGAATTTCATGCTATGTAAACTTGCTGATGACTGCATTTGCTTGATAATATCTTTCTCTTAATATACTTCCTCTCATATTCCAGAAACCAGATCTTGTTATGTTTGTTATGGTAGCAATATTGGTCAGGCTGCATTTGATGAAGCTCAAGCCTTCAGGGACAGTGTTTCAGTTGGAGCTGTTATTGTTGCAAAAATGGATGGTCGTGCAAAAGGAGGTGGTGCTCTCAGTGCGCAAGTTTTGCTGCAACTGTTGAAATGGTAATAATTTTTAGTTGGATCTAGGCATTGATATAGCTCATAAGAATATGGTCCGTTAAGCTTCACTCTGGAAACTTAGTATTTGGCTTTTGTTGTTAGACTAGTTTTCAACATGTGCAAGAAAGAACAAGGGCACCAAATTTTCAATCCAACATAATTATAGAAGTAAGACTCAAACTTTTGCCCTTTTGTCCTTGAGTTTCCACAGAAACCCAAGTGGTTTCAATCAGAAGTACTAATGTTATTAAGTGGGTGACCTCAAACGCTCTTATAAGCATAACTAGTGAACTCTTACCCACAAAACAATAGTAAAATGCTTAAAAAGATGAAATTTTCTGTTTTTTTCTTGCATTTTCTTAGCAAACAAACAGAGGGTAAATAGGTTTTTACATATTTTATACAGTGTTAAATCTGATTTTGTGTTTGAATGATCTTATATTGAAGCAACCATCTTTACCTTCCAGCTGAGAGATTGGTCGATTAGTTCAGAATATCAGTTCCAAATCATATTTCCTTCTAGATGCAAACATATATTAAGCTCCTAGGGTTCATTATCCACATGCTCAAATGGAGAGAGACAGAGAGATCTTGCCTGCTTAATAATTTTTTGTTTAAGATCCTCGGAGAGACCGCCGGTCCCAGACGATTGATCATGCCATTGTCGGACGGCTGTCGTTGAATATCAGAGGAGGCGCGATCGGGAGATCCAACGGGTGAGGCATCATAACCGTCCGTCGGAGACAGTGGGGGAGAGTCGGTGCTTTGTGATGATGACGGTGGCGGCGGCAGGGGGGGGGGAAAGGAAGAGAAAGAGAGGGCTGGGATTAAGGGGAAGGGTGTGGGGCTGATTAGAGGTTTTCCTTCTCTCAGTGACGCCAACGAAGTCCCGAAGAGAAGTGAATAGAGCTCGGGTAAACGGGTAAGCCACACTTCTCATATTCCTACAGAAGGAAGAGATCAACCATTTAAGCGGGGGCAGAAAACGTCATTGCACTATTCCAACAGCTTAGGAACAGTGAAGTTTGGAATCAGTTTTAGTATATATATAATGTATGAACTCTCTGTCCTCTTGTTTACTCTCTTTATCTCTCTCTCTCTCTCTCTCACACACACACATACTCACGACTACGCACATTCAGAAGCTTTAGGGTACATAATCATGGATGTTATTGTTGAGAGGACCCAAAGTATAAGAATTTATTTGGTTTATGTAAGTCTTCTCAATGCTTCCAGGATTTAGTGCTGAATTAGTGCCTAATGGTCGTGAAAAGGAAAGCCAGGCGAAGAACAAGTGGTACATGACCGTGATGGATTCAATGACGAAATGAGGCAAGTAATGCCAATTCCTTGTTTTTGTGTATTAAGCCACAGTTTGAGCAATAACTGTCATGTTCAGTTCCTTTTGGGGTTGGGGAAGAAACTCACGTGGTTTAGTGAATGGCTTAACTTGTCTTGCAGAGTTGGATAGCTCAAATCCAGAACTCATGAATGAGTCACGTATAATTCGAAGAGCACAAGGTTCTGGTCTCGAAATTAGAGAAGTAATGGAGATGTTTGAAGAGTACAAGCGATTTCTCCAAGATATGGAGCAAAATGAAAGGACATAAGATTCTGAAGAAGGGTGAAATGAGTGCACTATCCTGAAATATGAATGCACAGCATATAAGCAAAGTCCTTTCCCCCCAGATGCTGAAGCAGATTGGTGGCATGGGTAGCTTACAAAGTTCGATGAAGCAAATGGGTTCTGGTATAGACATGATGGGGATGTTCTGAGGGGGGGACAAGTAGATATTTATTACAATTACAGTGGTGATCTCAAGTTTATTTGCAAGTAAGGGTTGCCTTTGTCAACCAGAGAGGCTAGCCTTTGTGGGAGGCTAACAGATGTCTGTCCGCCAGTGATGCTGCTAACCGTTTTGCAAGAGCCTATTTTCAAGGGGGCTAACAGATAATTGAGTTTTGTTTTGAATAATAGTTGCATTGGTTGTGATCTGAAGGGTCGGCATTTCTTTTTTTTGGTCTTATTGTATGTATTTGGTTAGAAGAAATGATCAGTGATCAAAAGAATTGTAATGACTTAAGAGGCAATGAAGTGAGTTTCATCATTTAATGTTTAAGACAGGGCACATAGGATTGGTTCCCCCTTCTTTTGTTTGTATTGTTTGTAGCCTTTTACCAAAACTTGCAACAAATTTTGTGAGGATATTTAATGTCGAGTAATTTTGGCATATTGAGGGACCAAATCCACCAATCTTATACGGATTTTTAAACAAAGGGGAAAAAACCATGGTCGCTTCAAAAGCAATAAAAAAGCCAAACAAGGTCTAGTCCAATGGAAAAAGACATTGACTTGCAGACCAGTGATCAGTGATCTTAGGTTTGAACTTCAAGATACCTTAGTAAACTGACCTCCTTTTGTAGTTTAAACTATCACATGTATTAAAAAAAATATATACAATAAGTCCCTGCAAAACCATAAAATACATGTCTTAAATAGGGAAAATACCAAAAGGCCAGGCCATAATCTTCGAATCCACAAACGCATCAAAAACCCACACGTACAATGTTTTTTAGGCATTAATTAAGACAACGGATTGACAATGAAAGAGATATTGTTCAGCTAGCTTCCATTATTGGAGGCATATATGGCTGAAATATATGGCAATGGATTGACAATGAAGGTAATCTTTTCTGTCTCAATGTTGATAGACTTGTCTTAGATTTGTTCATGGGTTGAATTAATTGTGAAATTCTAACAAATTTAGGCCAATACTAGTTTTTTTACTATTGAAATCATCTGAAGGTCAAAACAGACCCAATAAAGTCTTTGTTTACACAAAATAATTTTGGTGTAATGTCATAAGGTCGACGAGTCTTGTGGTATCAAATTCCACAAAACACATACTATCAAATTTATACAACCCATGGAAAGTCTTAACATATTTCTAACAAGAAACGCAGTAGTAATAATGGAATAAAACAAGTCATAATAAGGCTTTGGAACTTAGAGTTATGCCTTCAGTCCTTGCTCCTTGCTCGACATGAGCAATAATAGTACATCAAGCTTCCCACTCGCCTTCCAAAGAATCTCGAACAGCTCCGGATTGCCAATTTCACAGTCAGTCGGTGGCTCCTGCGAAGGAGGGGAAAGCGAATTCCTGCCTGCCATAATCCAGACAAGCTTATCCAGCTTCTTGTGTATATCGAAAGCAACCTCAGAGAGTCCCTAATGCCACAACAATTATTGGAAAATCAGACAATATTAATGAGAATTAAAAAATGCTAGATATGGAACAAACCCAACAACAAGAAGCAAAGCCATAAGTAAACATTAAATTGAAATTGAAATTGTCTCAAAATTAAAGCCTCTGTTCTGATTGTTTGAAATCATATAGAACTACCAGATCGTTGTTCTCCTCAACGGCAAGATCCGGCGGAGAACGAGGCAGATCGTTGTTCTCAACAGCAAGCTCCGTACGCTCCATGCATATAGAGAAGAAGATGGAGGTTATGGCAGTGCTTGGCTTAGTTAGGGTTCTGAGAAGAGGAGACGAACAGAAAAGAAAGAGAAAATGTTGGCTTAGTTAGGGCTCTATGAATAGACTTTCAAATACAAAAGTTGGCTTAAATAGAATAAAAAAAACAAACCCTAAAGTCAATAGGAAAATAATATCCTAATAAATCACTTATTCTTCAAAATATTAAATTAAATACAAATATTGACAGAATCATAATTGCTTCAAACTTCCTTAATTAATTAGAAAATCCCAACGATACGCCTTTATTGATTTCCTTCCAACTTTGAGTCACTTTATTTTAATTAATTTTTCATGACATAATTGACCCATATTTCGTCGTACATCATCCTATCGTCAGCATCTTGCATAACTAATTCAATTGCATAACACTAAAAAAACAATAAATGGTTGAGAAATGAGAAACAAGTATGTAAACGTTACTGGATGATTCATTGGACTTTTGCAGCAACACTTGGTTATTTATTATACAAATTTATAAATAAACTCAATCCTAGACATGTATTTATAAAAAAAAACTCAAACACTATTTAAACATAGAAACATACCCAAAATCAACCCCAAAATTAACAATTGTATCTTTTTTAGGTGTGTTTATAAATGGGTTTTGAGTATGTGTAAATGATGGATTTTGGGTGTGTTTATAAAGTGTTTTGGGTGTTGGGTTTTTTTATAATTTCAGCCCCCATTTTGGGTGTTTTAGTGAAACTCCCTATTTATTAATCACATGTGTCTAAAATATTAATTTCAAGAATCTTAATTTTGTAATTAATGCATGCAAGGGTCTGTTTGGGTCAAAATCCTGCGCACCCAGCCCAACACTCAAGAGCCCAGAATGACAAAACAAGCCACAAGGCCCAAGCAATCTGGACTTTGCAAATAAACAGGAATCGAGAGCCCAGAATCCAAGAAAGCCTAGCTCAGGATCTATCAAAACCACGACAATAATGAAATTCTCGATGTATTTTTATGGCTTCTTATAAATTTTTTGGGACATTTTTAAGGTTAACGCATAAAATTGAAACTCTAATGACACGTGTAGCTCACAAGAATGACACCCTTCAAAAGCACTGACGACACACCATTCAAGTGCTGCCACTTGTCATTCTCTTACGTTTATTACTCTTTTTGAATTATTTAACTTCCAAAAATCATAATAATTCATTAAATAGCATAAAAATACATAAATAAATAAAAAAACAATTCTACAAACTTTGTGACATTTTCTACATCTTTTGGGTTTATCAATTTTCAAATTAATTGTAGAGAGGATATCACAATAGTGGGTTCTCATATAATATAGAATTGGTTAAGAAGTGGGAATTACCCCACATCCAAAGGCCACCAAGATTATTATCAATGGCTAGAGACATCATTCCTTCAGCTTTAATATGACAAACCTGATGTAGACAACTTTGGCAAGAACAAAAAAAACCAAAAATAAGGCTCTTATCTTCATCAGTTATTTAATATAGCGGTGAAACAATTCTTTCCATACCTGTAATGGCACTCCACTCTTCGTCCCAAATTAAACCTCAAGGGACCATTCTAACAAGCAGGGCACCAGAAAATGTTCTCCATTTACACAAGAAGAAAATGACAAAAAGGAAAGGAGAAAAGTAAAAATAAATAAAATAAATAAAATGGAAAGAAGAAAAGGATACAAAGGAAATAAGAAAAGTAAAGAGGAAAAGGTGAAGAAGAAAAGGAAAAAGAAATTTGCAAAATAACAAAATTACCCTCCTTAATGGGTTCACCCGTTTTTGATCCGACACAACCCGTTAACTTAACGGGTGACTAACAGGTTCACCCGTTTTCAACCCAACCCATTAAGCTCAACCCAAATACTGATTATTTCGTGCAAATTCGTGCCGTGTTAACGGATCGTGTGCAATATTGCCAGGTCTATTTTGGAGAGTTTGGGTTTGAGGAGAATTGGAGGGGATGAATGGTATTTATAGAAAGTCATTTATGGTATAATCATTATTTAGGGTTGAGTTGGGCCTTAGTTGGGTTTCAATGCCTTGGCCTAAACCCGCATATGGACATCAGACTTCCATGGGCTTGACCTGGCTAGGTTTGGCCTACCCATTGAAATTGTTTTTTTTTTAAAAAAATAATAATAATATTAAACTATTTATTGCATATTATAGACTAAATATATTGTATCTTAGATTAAGTACGTTAGTTCTAGATTATACTCGTACACTAGAGGAGATATCATAAACTTTTTTTCAAAGTCTAAATGCATTAAAGATCCTAGACCTTAGTAGAACTTGTATTTCGTTACGTGAGCTCCTGATTTGGAAAAGTCAGCAATTTCAACTAGGTTGATAATGAATTAATAAGGGCAGGTATAAAAGAAGGACATCTCTGAAAACTCTGCCACCAGAAGATCAAAATCCTTTTTCATATATTCAAAGATATTTTCTGCTCCAAAGAAGGCACCATTCTCAAGAGATAAGCAGACTTACATTTTGCGAGATAAGTGGGAAGCAGGGAGTTGTTCAGCTGGAAAATCAAACTAAACATCACAGTTTGAAGCTCTTACCAAGAGTAGTCAAATTGGGAAAAGGGCCAGGTTTCCTTTCAAAAGACAACAGGGAAGTGACTGCCTTAGGAAATGACTATTGAGGGCTTATCTGCCAGAATTGATAAAACCCATTTTTCTTGGCATTTAAAAATGAAAGATCTTTTGAGAATTTTTGCCGCCCCTTATTAAAGAATTAGAGGCCCCACTCCAAAAAAAACATTGTCTTATAAATATAAGAAAGGGTGAATAGAGCAAAGGACAATCAAACAACCAAAAAAATCAATCTAAGACAAAACCCAAAATGATCACTTGATCTCAAAAAACCTTCAAACAAACTGAAGCAACCAAAGCTCATTAAGCCACAAAAAGAAGCCAGCTATAATCCAGAATCTCTGAACTCAGTTTAGACTTAGAGAAATAAGTCATTCAAAATGAGACTTTTCTCGTTACAAATTTGGTTAAGCAAAAGCCAGATCAAGCAGAGTTCATGTTTTTACAAATATGAAAACCTCAACAAATTTATGGTGAGCCCTGACCAAGTAGAACAGGTACCACAATGCAGTTCCAGCTCAGTAAATCCTTAAGCCCAGCCACTTCTGCCCCTCACAGATTGAAGAGGCCGCAATTCTGCCTGTTCAAAAAGCCTTCCAGGGCTTGAAATAGATTAAAGCTATGCCAAACTCAAACGTTGGTATCAATTTACAGTTGAAGCTCAGCAGTTGAAGTTATTGACAGTCCAGTCCAGCACAGGCATACCCAGTCTAGCCCGGATCAGAAGCTTCTATTCAGGCAGAAATGGAAGTCCAGCCTTTTTGTGCTTTTCTAGAGTTGGTTTTTTCCCTTTTGAGTTTTGTAAAAGGCAGTTCTGCCCAAAAACAGTCCACCTTCTTATCATTTATTATGGCCAGAGCTACCAATCTTGTGATGTGATAAATTGTGAAGTCCTCACCAGTCTGAAGCAAGAAAAGAACTGAGATATTCCTTATCCAAATTCACAATTGCTTGTTTAGAAATCAATAACTTGAGGTTCAAGTTACCAATTTTTAAGAAGTCTGCTAGGATTTTTCATCGCTAGCAGTGGCATGCTCACACACTAAAGAAAGTTGACTTGCTGACTAGTCAATGGTTTTTAGGGCAATGGGGAACTTTACCCTTCCATCACAGGAACAAACGTAAAACAGGTGAACACCAATTGTTTGAAACAGTTTGTTATTTATAAATAACGTCCCCTAGGGACGCCTGAACCGTTCGGTGCGAGGAATGCGGCTTAGGCTGACTAATGGTCCCCTGAGGCCTGCGAGGAATGCGGCTCGGGTGACTTGGTGTCCCCGAGAACTGCGAGGAATGCTGCTTGATTAACCTTGCATTTTCGAGGCCTGCGAGGATGGAATTGACGGTATTAATGGAATTGATGAATAAGGAATGGGGATACGCCTAGGTGGAGAGATTTTAAACTTTGAGATATTTTTAAACTAAAATTGAGGATTTTATACGGTTACCATTATTTTCTTAAGCGACACATTTGTTTTATAAGTGAAAGATGGAAAGATATCCAAAATCCATTTTTCTGGTAGAGTTATTTGACTCCACTTTACCATTTTTGGGACTGCCACGTTTGACTTTTCAAGGTTTTTCACCTTTACTATCTAAGTCTTTAGCTTTGGGACAGACAATGTTCATAACCTTATATGAAACCCTATAAATGATTGCTATATTTTGGGATCCTAGGTCCATATCATGACTCTGAGTTTGAATATTCAATGTTAAGGCTTGTAAGACATTTATATCAAAAAGTGCAACAGAAAAGTTTGGAAAACAATTAAAATATATTGAGCCTTCCCCTTAGGTTGACTCAACTATTCCTAACAAAGAATCTGTGAACTTTCTATGTCTTCCATATCTTATACATAGCAAGATTGAACTGGGCAATCCTGTTTTGGTAAGTGGTTTCACCGCTACCTGCACCAAGCCTATGTGCAAATATTTATATTTTCTATCTAGATGCTGGTCAATTTGATGCTGAGTAAATAGTTGGAAACTATCATTTTTATCAATGACAGATATGGTTTCTTCAACAGTTCTTCAACAGTCTTAAGAAGGTAGTGTAGAGACGTAGAGAAAAAACAAAATAATTGTTAGAAATTCAAACATACAAAGCCAAAACTAGGTATAAGAATATAATGAAATTAAAAACTATATAAACAATAACATTAATATTTATCCAACTTACATAAAAGCAGAAGGGCAGTAGCGCTTAACAGAAGGTTCGCAGAAGTCGCACTTGGAATATAAAAACACTCAAACACTTAAACACTCAAAAGTACAAAGTTTTTTTTGTTGAGGCGATATTTTTTCGATGATTCACAACTGAGGAGAGGTCCTCCTTTTAAAGCCTTGGAGCTGCTGACATGTCAAATAAAGACAAGAAGTCACAAAGCAGCCTACAGTAGAGCGGTATCTTCGCTTTGATGATTCTTGTTGAACTTTCCCAAAAGGAGCCAAAAATAAAAAGC